CATGAAATGTATTTATTTATTAATTATGTTAGACATTGTTAGTAAGATTTTATATTTTAATAAATATAACTACCTCACTGTTATGTTTTACTAAATTTCATTGAATAACATGAGCACATTTTTGTTTGATCCAGTTGGCATAGGGTATAATGCATGGATATTTTAAATCGAAATAGAACAATACAATGTAACTTAAAAATAAAGAAAAAAGTAATTAAAAATATAAGTTTTGAAAGAAAAAATAATACAAAAATAGATGTAAGCAAAGTTGATGTTTGATAATTTAATTCTTTTTTGTAAATGAAGAAAAGTAAACAGTAAACATGACCTATTAGAGGGTGTGCGTGACGTGAATCGCGAAAGAAGGAGCGTTGGGCGAGAAAGGGTGTATGTGATTTTCGTGGTACTTTGGTTGGGCCGGTTTTATGAAATTACATTTGAAGTGAGTGAAAGGGTCGCCAACGGGTCTGTGTGGAGCGGGGAGAGAGACATGGGACTTGTTTAAAATCATTATTATTACTTTTAGTTTTATTCTTATTTAATTAATCAATCGTAATATTTTCTAGAACTGTTATATAAAAAATAAATGGTTTCCCATTTTCTAGTTTTTCCTTTTTTGTCATCTCGATTTGGCAGTTTGAAAATCCAGTGTTATCTTCTCACATGAAAGCAACCTCCTCACTTGTTTCAAAAAAGCCTCCCCTACCTACCTCAAAATTTTAAACTCGCAATTACACAAACTCTTTATATTAACTATAAAATGATAAACACCTCGTCATGGTTAAGGATCTGAAAAAAAAAATCAAGAATGCACTTTATTTCACGGATTATTACAGGCACGTATTTCTCATAAGAAAATTTGTCGAATAATCTTCTGATTGTAGTATGGAAATGATTGCTTATGGTATTCTCTTATTAACTCCTATACTTAGAAAACTAGTTAATCACGGCACATGAAATTTTGGCACACAAGATCAAATCTCGTTTTAGTGACACGCACGCGGATAAGTTAGATTTAAAATTAATTCATACATGTAATACCATTTTTTAAATGGTATTTTGTTAAGATGAATAATGAAACATAGACAAAAATTAAGGTTTAGTTAAAAAAAATACTCTATACATAAAAAAACACGTGATATAATAAATGACAACCTTTAAAAATACCCTCGTTTAATGACTTTTTTAAAAAAATTATAGTCTACAAATTTTATATAAGAGTTAAAATATAATACTGTTAAAAAATTATTAATTTGTTTAATTTTTTAACAGTCCACGTAAAAACTCAAATGTTGTGAATATTTGATAGGTCAGTAATCTTCTAATGTTATATTATAGTGATTAATTTATTGCCATCTTTCAAATTTTTATGTAAAGATCAACTTTTAAAAGTGTAAATAACAAGGAAAAAAACAACTTAACTTGTGAATTTATATTGTTAAATTTATCATCAATTTATTAATCAATAAAAAAATGACTATGACACGATAAGATTCTTGTTATAATTTTTTTATGCCATAATTTCCATTGGATTCTCTTGATTCATCGCAATTTGACTAAATGGCTTCAATCTATTTTGAGCCCATAAAATATTTTTACAATACAGTTCAGATGCCGTTTATTTGTGATTTACAAATATATGTTAATCAATTATACGAGAATGTTAAACTGTTTATGACAATGACACAAGTTTATAAAAAAGCGCAAAACAATGTTATTTTCAAAAATCAAGATTAGGAGTTTGTGAAAAAAAAAGTATAAAAGTTAATCATACAAGTCAATATATATATATATAAATCCCATGACTAATTTAAGTAGATTCTGCTTCAACATTATTTTGATTTTTTTATATTTTATTTTATTTTAATATGTGTGCTAATAGGTGTGAAAAAAAAGAGTTCATTATTTTATTTTAAGTAGCAGTGCTAACTTTTGCTGGTTATGCCATCCTCTTTTCTTGCACATATGCAGATTACTTCTGACGCACTTCTTGAACATTCCCTTTTGCATAGTTTCTTCTGTGAAAGAGTCACCCTGAACTTTGCTTCTTTTGCAGGGACTGATTCGAGACTCCATGAGATTATTTAAAAGTTCCACATTGAAGTAAATAAATACTCTTGTAGGAAAATTTGTAGCTTTCGCTTAGTAAGCATAAAATGAAACGAGAAAGCATGCCAAGGAAACACAACATTTTTCCCTCCATTTGGGCAATTTTAAAAAGCGTAAGAAATATTTAAAATATGGGAGTATACGCTATAATTAGTTGTCCCCGTAATGTTATTTATTCTATATTATATGATTAGTATATGTTTTTTTTTTGTCAATTGACCGGTCCTTGATTTAAAATTTAATAATTTATTTACAATTTTAATTTTTATATTTTAATTTATGTAAAATTTTGATTTTTTTAGTTTTAAGTCTATATATAAAATTTTATCTAAATTTATCTTTAAAATTGTGTTTAACAATAAAGTATTTAAATATTTAAATTTATTATAATGGAAGAAGTAAAGTCAAATAGAGAATTTAGTATTTTTTTTAAATTACTTTATGAATATTTTTATTTTTTAAAATACCAAACTTTAACTTTATACTTTATAGAAATGACAAACAATTTATAATATATTAATTTTTAGTAGATCAGCCTCTAGTTTAAGAATATTTTCAAGTCACTAAATAACCTATTGATCTCATCCATATGTTTAAAAATTACATAATCTTATTTCTATAAATCAACCTTTAATTATTCAGTCTCTAAGTTCTTTCATTTAAAAGATTTTTTAGATTGTTTCTATCTTGAATTAACTTTTTTTTTCTTAACTGTCATGGACAATTTATCTTTAAGCATAGTAATTTTTCTGATTTTTTACAATCATGCAGTAGATATTTTTTTTCTTTATATACTACTTTTAACTTAATTGACAACCAAGAATCTTAACCATGAAAGACTAGAAGTGCATAACCTTAACATCACTCTAATAATATTATTTTTGACCACTAAACTTTTAAAATAATGAATTTCTAATACTTAATATAATAAGTTAGTTTTATGTTATTGTTAAAATTTGAAATTAAAAATTAAAATAAATGACATATAAAAAAATTTAAAACTAACGTGATATTTTTAATTTTATAAAAAATAAAATATTAAACTTAATTTCTCATAAACTAAATTGAGAACTTAGTCAAACATATTTAAAGTATATTTTTAAGGTATCATAATATAAAAATGTAATAATTAAGTAAATAAAATTACACTCATCATCATGTCATTTTTTAATGTTTCAAATGACATAGCCCTAGCTTTAAAATTAAAATTCTAGTATAACATGGAAATGCACAGTACAGGTGTTTGTAGGGTGATGAGTCCTTGCTGTTTCCTAGGCCCAAATTCATCAACCTCAGCACACGGGACAATTATATATAGGAGCTTATCAAACAAACGCCATTGAGTTGAAGGGGTGGGGGTAGAATATATGTCATTGTCACTTTCACTGTCGCTGTCGCTTGTGGTGGACTATGGACCAAGATAAAGAAAAGACAAGGACCACATCTACAACTACAATAAGAGAAGGGTGCGGCACCAACATGGGTTTCTCTCCTTCTTTATCACATCACCGTCTTATCTTCACTGCAGGGTAGGTTCTCTCTTTCCCCTTCTTCTTCCTGTCTCATAAAGCTCTTAACTTTTCACTAACCTACCTAACTCTGATGATGATATCAATGATGGGTCCATGTTATATTACTTGCTTGGTTTTATGGGTTGAAACGTAATTGCATTTATGCTCAACTCTAGAGGGTATTCAAATCAATGACGTAACATGATTACCAATTTAACAAGACACACAGGGCACCTTGATTTCAAATGCTTATAAGACTTTACTTAATTAAGGTAGTAAACTTTCTCTAAATCCCAATTTTGACTTTGATAACAGGAAACTGTCCCCAGAATTGTCACCGATCATCCTTATTTTTCCTCTATATTTTGACTTTTTCAATTCTTTTTTTTTTGGGGGGGGGGGGGTTGATCTCATTTGATCATGGTTGTTATGTGCATTTTTGGATGCTTTCCTATTATATTATTTAGTAATTGCAATGTGGAGACTAGTCTCTTGGCTTTCGCAAGTGTGCATTTGATTCATTTTCTGTATTGGTGTATCTGGTTGGAGAAGAATGCATGCTTTTCCAAGCCGTTTATATGCCCTTGCATACATCATACATGGGGTAGGGTTGTGTTTATAGCCCTACTTACAGTTCATTGTTTTGAGTGTTTTCTTTTTAGTATCTGTGTTGAGAGGATGTTGTTTTCCTGTAATCTCTTCCAAAAATTAGTTTTCTTAAATTCTAGTTCAAAGATATGTAGCAGGGAATTCTGGGTATTGGTCATTTTGTAATTAGGGACTAGGAAATTCATTTTTTTTTGGGTACAGTATACTTATACATGAAATTTGTATATAGAAGAGGATATGGATTAATGATGGGGATAGAAAAGATCATATGTTAAGGGAGCTTGAATGTATCTTCAGTTTCCACCCTCATTGTTTTGATTTCTGGCTTTAGATTTCGTTTTAGGAGTCCAATGCTCCTTGAGTGGTTCATTTTGTCTGTGGGACTTAGTAAAATCAACCTTAATGATCTATCACAATAGAAAAGACTCATAGATAGCTCTTAATCCTGAATTTCGTAAGACATGGTACAGTAGTTTTGAATTTACTGTCATTTGATCTTCAATTCCCTGATGGTTGGAACACATGGTGTGTACAGGCTGTTTGGTTTTTGGTGAGAAGGGAAACCAGGTATGCGCACCTTTGCATGATTTTGGATTTGTTGCAGAAAGATTTTGGGAAGAAAAGTGAGATTGGGCTACTTAGGGTATGTTTGATTTCTCTTTTAGAAAGAGTTTTTTATTTTTTTTCTAAATATAATATAAATTTATACTATATTAGAAAAAAAAATTAAAAAACTCTTTTTAAAAGAGAAATCTAACATACCCATAATATTTGAAGGGACCAGGGACCTTAGTTCTTTTTTTTATTATGGAGCTGAAGTTTCTCCTTGTATTATCTTTTGTTCTCTCTTTCAAAGAGGATTGGTTGTCTTTTTCTTGTAGTTTTTGCTTCTTCTGTCTTTAGTGGGAAATTGTTCCTTAACTATAATGGTGGGAATTTGTTTATTTCCATCCTCAACTCTTACTACGATTGATTCTTTGCTTAATTTTTTAAATAACTACCCACTGACTGGAGCTATTGAATTGGCATGACTCAATCAACTCAAGACATTTTAAAGTTTTTAACCTAGGTAGAGCTACGTATGACAATGGAGATTATAGAAGTATAGATTATTCCTTTTTTAGGAAAAAGAGCTCTCAGCTACCAATGGTCTTTCCTGTTTTAGCTTAATATACTGCATAAGCGGATTGATCTATTTAATGGGGTATGGGGACACATGGAGAAAAACTAATATGATAGTTAATGCTACTTGAGTTTCAATATTTGATAATTACTAAAATAATGTTGATAAAGTACTATGATGTTTTGGTTCAAGTCTCTGGAAGTTCATATCTCACATAAGTCCTTGTTTCTTTAATCTGCTTTCTTTGCCAATTGGGATAGTTCCCATTTTGTGTCTAGAATGATGCTTGCTTGGGATATTGTTCATTTTAGAATGTTCTTGCATAGCTTTATCATCTCTAACTTTGCATGACGTCCTTCTTTACTGGTTTATTCTGCTTCCCATGTTTTCTATTTCCCCAAGGATTTCCTGTTCTTTAAGAATTGTCAGGGTGAGAAGACTTCTGATTTTGCATGTTTGTTGAGGTTTCTAGACTCGTTTTATAGAACCAACTCCTCTTTGGTACATGGCCAATAAGTATATAAATATTCCTCTCTATATGTTGTCAAGTCTGTATGCCCCATTTATTTGGCACTACATCAACACTTCCTCTTTTGGTGCTAATGTATCCCTATTATTATCTCTCATCCATTCCATTCCTTTTTTTTGGACTAAAGCTCATTATTTACTTCACTTCCCCTTATTTATCTATATATGTCATATTTCCATTTCTTTTTTGCTGCATCCCATTAGCAAGCACAACACTACTCCATTTTCTTCAATCTTACACATAGATGATGCAGCAGTTCCTGGTACATTTCAATAGGTTTCAGCTAGATATCACTAGAGATGGATAGAAATTTTTTGGAATGTATCCATATGTGAATTTAGGAATCAAATTCTTTTTAGTCCAACTTAAATCTTAAATCCAATGCCTGAATTATTATGCTAAAACTTGGGGCCCTTTCAGTTCAAAATTCCATTCTCATCATAATTAAACAGTCAAAATACAAATATTAACATATGCTTTAAAAAAATTACACATATTGCGCCTGATGCAGCATGTAGCAATTAGAGATAGTGAAATAACCAGCATATTTCTTTTGATAATGTACATCTAATTATGCATGTGTGTGGGATCCATTTAGTTGAAACTGTTAATCTGCTTCAACACTCTTTAGGATTTGGAACACAGAATGAAAATGAAAATGCATCAATCTAGTGCTTGTGCAAAGTAGCCTTATATATTAGCAAATTTTGATTAAACTTGTAACGTTTTTCCCCAGTTATCGAATTTTATTTCTTTTTTGGATAATGATAACGATGAAAATATAATTTGACTTTAGGAAGATGGATGAATTCTCCACTGTTGATGGTTTTGTGGAGATAAGTGATTGCATGGCAGAGATGATTAAGTATGTGGCTAATGAACCATCTGTTGGGCTTTTCTTTATTCAACATCATGCTCAAAATGCAGTGCCCAATGTCGTTACAGCTAAGAAAAATGTTGTTGAGAAGTCTCATGAAACAACTTTGCACATGGAAAATTTGGAGGACTCTATCGCTATGGTTAGATCAATGAAAGAGTGTGGATTTCCCATAGCCAATAATATGATTGGAGAGATTAAAAAATCGCTGGTAACTATGACAGCAAAACAACCAAAAAGAGGGTTAATCAATTCAGCATCAAATTCTCAAACAAAAAGACCTAGTTTCTGGGGTAATGCTCAGGATGGCAATGAAAAAAGGAGTAACTATTTTTCAAATGTTTTGAAGTCAGCAAAACAGAAGGCTAGAAGTTTCAAGTGGCCACAGCCTGATACTGAGGAATCAGTGGGTTGTATGGATGAGAAGCCACAGACAAACCCTACTTTGCCATTATCAGTCATGTCTGCGATATCTTTACCGGCTACTGAAATCGACGAATTGCCATTATCAAGCCAGGTTGAAGACGAGTCTCAACCTGAACAGACTAATGTTAGTGATATGAGCGTTAAGTTATTGTCAGTATCAGAAAGATACGATGACTTCAAAGCTAATAAAGAAGCCAAACTAGAGGAGTGGCTGGAAGGAGCTTGCACCCTTGATGATAATAGTGTTACAGGTGATGAGAAAGGTGTTAGCTTGGCTACACTTCAATAGAAAGCTTCAGCCTCAGCCTGTATATGCCATTGAGTCTCTAAATAGTGATTATAAATAAAAATGATTTTTGCGATGCTGTGAAATGTTCTTTGAATAAGCATGAATTTTATTTGGCAGGGTTCTCATTCTTTAAAAGCGAGCCATTTATTGCTCTTTTAAGCAACTAATATTAATTACCTTCCCATCCTGTGCTGCACGCGTGTTTGGTACTACTTTATCATTTTAAGATGGCATGTCACTGTTTATGAGTAGCTATGCCAACACATATGAGCTAGGGTCTTAGCCATCACTTCTGCTGTTTATTTGTTTAGTGAGAATCTTTGATCAATTATATACTTGTGAATTTATTAGTATTTCGCAAAAGAGTTTTGCTTTTATATACTACTGCATCATCAATTCACCTAGTAGTTAGTATTTGGCTCTGTGATGTACACATTTCATCTTTTCCAGCTAATTTGTGGCACATTAAGTGACAAAGTATATAAGCAGTGTTTTTGTGGCATATATCACGGATTGTACACCTTTCAATTGAAGGGTCGCCACCCCAAAAGTGACTACGAAGCTGGTTGGTTGAGTGGTGGATCACGAGCCATAAAATCTGACGGGGAAGTTGTCAATTTTCTAATAATGATGCATGAATGTATGTATTTCACATTACAATAAAATTTATCATAATTTATGAATTATGAGTAAGTGACACATGCTAAAACGGCTATGCTTCTGTATCCTTTTTTTAAAACATACTTTGCTCCGATAAGTTATACAATTTTGTCTCTTTTTCAGTAAATGTGCTTTTTAATGATTAATTTTTTTCTATATGTAATTGCTGATTTTATTGGCACTCTACTAAAACAAAAATCACTAAGAATTAATTTTGAACTTCTATTGTCAATTTTAAAATTAAAACAAACGTATTAGATATATTTTCAAAATAAATAAATAAATAAATAAAGGTATCCTCTAAAAATTCAAAAAAAGCATCAATTCTCTCAATCAATACCTTTTTCATATACAAAGTTTGAACTCAATATCTTATTTAAAGTGAATTAAGACTGTACTACTTAAATTTACTGTCCGTATAAAGTTGTTTAAAACATGTTTCATCTTCTAACACTGAAAAGGAGATATTTAAAGTTAATTGTTGATGACACTGTAGTTATGCATAGGAAAAAATAATAATAAGAAATTTGTTTATATTTACTTATAGTTAAGGATGTTTAAAAATTAGTTTGACCTGAACTCCGAATCAAGTTCAATCCTTGTATCTCAAGATAAAAAAATATATACTAATATTTTATTCAAATACTATATTTTGTTTAGGACAAGTCAAACTAGCCTTTGTGTTACTAAGCCCAATTTAGATAAAATAAGTCTAACTTGTACAAGCTATATACTTTAAACATATTACATTATACATACATTTAAACTTTTTTATACGAGGTATCATTACATAATACACATTTGACATATATCAAAGCTAATTTTGAAGAATTGCTTCAGATTAAATGAAATAATTTATTGGCTAAAATACTTATCGGTAACTTAATTAATATTTTTTTTTTATCAATAACTGTGACTTGGTAATTTTTTGGGGGGTCAATAAGCGTAACTTAGTCATTATAAATTAGATATGCACATATTAGCTTTCTTTGGATAATTTTTTATAGAAGTTTTTATAAGAGATAAATTAGTATAAAAAATAATAAAGTTTTTCTATAAATTAAAAAGAACTTATAGTTATTTGTTTTTTAAAATTTTTAAGAAGCTCTCTCAATTAACTTCTCTAAAATTTAAAGACATAAGTTATTTTTAATTTATGAAATAAATTTTATTTATTATTTATATCTTTTTTATATAAAGACTTCTTTGTGAATTCATTTAAAGTCAATTTTGTTACGGTCTAAAGTTAAATTCAACTTTAAAATTAGTAAAAAAATTTAATTTAATAAGTTTAACTTGTCATATTTTATCTTATGAATACACTTGCTTTATCATTGTAAAGAAAATTTATTTACACTATTAAATACTAAAATACATTATATTTTGTTTTTCACCATAGAAAAATGTGGCTTTTCAAATTAAAAAAGTGAAACTAAAATGCAAGCATTAATTTATTCACATTTATACTTTAATGTGTTAATTATTAATTATATTATATTTGTTTCCTTTTTATTTTAAAATATAAAACTCAAATTTAAAAAGTATGATTAAATTTTTTTTATTTAAATTAGTTTTAACTTTATAACATAATTCATTAATTTTCTCTTATTTATAATAAATGCATAAAGTATTTAATAAATAAATAGATGTTTGAAAATGATTCAAAAAATATTGTTTTAAACTTAAAAACGTAAGAGCATGTTTTTCGGTAATTCAATAAATAAAAAAGATATTCTTTATTATTAGAAGTGTCGTTTTACAACGATATTCTGTATTATTACATCTTGTTGTAAGTGATTGTTATGATGAAGATTCCACTAGTTCCATGACTATAACTTGTTTCTTGAAAGTGAAACCACCAATCAAATTATAAGGATAACATAAAGCTAAAATTTAAAATATTTTATTTATTTGATGGTTTCAGTGTCTTTGTTTAAACTTGTAAGAAGAGAAAGAAATAAAATAAAATAAATTGATCGGAAATATTTAAAATAGAATAATTGTTGACTTTATCAACTTAGGAACATAAAAAATGACACTGACCTTCCCTACTTTGAAGTACAAACACAAAAAAAAATTGCTGGTGGAAGTTTCTGACATTTGTCACACTCTACACTTTATTCCCCCCATTTCCTTTGACCACATATACGCACCCCAACACGTCACCGTTTCAACTTTCCACTCCACTCCACACGCCAAAACCATAAAACCGTTTGCATTCGATTTATCCTAATAACCTTTTGTCACCGCGCTTTTCATCACGCTCATTCTTCTTTCTCACCGCCATGACACGAGTCCGAAAACTCGGCGCCGTTGTCGGAGCGGCCATCGCCACCGCGTACGGAGGCGCCATCATTCTGCACGATCCTCCCATCTCTGCTAACGATTATGGAGGCGGTTCCCGCCTCGAGACGTTACAGAAGCGTCTGCATGGCCCTGACGCCGTCGCTCCGTCCAGGTTGGCGCAGCAATCCGCATTGATGGCCGCCGGAAAGTCTAATCCTCTTGATGTTCTCGTCATCGGCGGCGGTGCCACTGGCTCTGGTGCTGCGCTTGACGCCGTGACCCGAGGACTCCGCGTCGGGCTTGTGGAGCGAGAAGATTTTGCTTCCGGAACTTCGTCTCGATCCACGAAGCTCCTTCATGGAGGTATACATTACATAATATGTTAAGAAATGGTTGCAAACTCAATGAATTATAAGTTGTTGATTCTGTGTCATTGATAAAAAATTAGTGATAGACAAATGATTTGGGGTTACAGTTCAGTTACGGTTGTGGCAGATGCCGTGTGCAATAAGCCTCTACCTAACAATGCATAAGCAGTCTCCTAACAATTTCGACTATTAGAAATGTTGATTATGAGAAGATTTTGCTTCTTTTTCCTTCACCCTTCAGCTCCACCTAGTCAAGTGCAGTTTTAATGCTTGAGTACTTGTTTTCCGTTTCTTGTCAAGATTAAGAATCAAAGGGGATAAGGCAAAGAAAGGAAGAAAACGGGTAGAAATAAAAAGGAGAGAGAGATGCCAAAATGATTGACATTCAAACATTGATAAAAGCTAAATACTTACATCATCCTTTATCAGATTTCATTCTGAATCAAGTTGGTTGAACCTACTGGTGTTTTTAAGATAATTCTGCGTGTAGTTTTTCAGTTGGAATACTTCCATGTGTTGAACCTTACTCTAGATAACTTTTTTGCATGTTATATATGTATATATATATATATATATATATATATATATATATATATATATATATATACGTCTTTACTCTTACTGTTATACTAATTATTGGTATTATCTTCTTTTGTTCTTATCACCATTTAAACATTTACTTTTTCTATTGATTCCTCCAAATTGGATCAAAAACCATTTTTGAATGAGGTATTAAACTCCAAGGATGAATCGAAAAATCAATCTTTATTGGTCCTACCTCCATTTTTTTATGAAGAGAATGAATCTTTTTATCCAAGGATCATAAAAAATGGGTCCAGACATCTTGTGGGAATTATTTAGAAGATCCAAAACCAAATTTGGTTGGATAAAAAGGCACATGCTATGGTTGTAAGTTGTAATGGAAAATACAGACATTGATGTGGTTCTCTGAAAGGACATTTGTATAGAACAGTGATTCTGATTTAGTTTTTGCAAGTGAAAGATAACATATGAAATGTACTTAGTAAACTGAAAATGAAAAGGAAAACTGTATTTGCAATTACAGAATTCAAAAGTGAGTAATTCCCTTTTCCTAGAAGGTTTAGAAACATCCTTGGGTATGAGATTTAAACATAAGATTTGCAAAGGTCTGTGTGCATCTTAACAGTATTGTTATCGAATTGCCAGACTTCATTTCTCTTGGGGCACTGGTTAATTGAATTTATGTGCTGTTTAATATATTTATTTGGATTAACTTTTCTTAATACTTGACCTAATGATCAAAATTTAACATGTCAGTTTTGTGAACCATTAGGTGTTCGATACTTGGAGAAAGCTGTCTTTAACCTTGACTATGGACAATTCAAGTTAGTGCTTCATGCACTCGCGGAGCGTAAACGGGTTATTGACAATGCCCCACACCTATGCCATGCACTGCCATGCATGACACCGTGTTTTAGCTGGTTTGAAGTAGTGTACTACTGGATGGGCTTGAAAATGTATGATTTGGTTGCAGGAAGACAATTGTTACACCTATCAAGATATTATTCTACAGAAGAGTCTGTTGAGCTCTTTCCCACTCTGGCAAGGGAGGGAAAAGATAGAAGCCTAAGGGGCACAGTTGTTTATTATGATGGGCAGATGAATGATGCAAGGCTTAATGTTGGATTGGCTTGCACTGCTGCTTTAGCTGGTGCAGCAGTGCTGAACCATGCAGAAGTGGTATCCTTACTGAAGGATGATGCAGGAAATCGGATAATTGGTGCACGAATTCGGGACAATTTAACTGGTAACACATCCTTATATTTCTATTTGTTACGAGAGGGATTGAAGGTTTACATGGTTTACCTTTAAAAAAAAAGTATATAAGAAAATTTGGGATAACATATCCAATTAGTTTAAGGAGACAAATGACTTGCCTGTGTGTGTGGGGTGTATGGGAAAATATATGCATTACAGTTTATGGGGCACATCTTAATCCGAGTTTTAAGAGTCTAAATTAAATATTAGTTATAATAATAGGTTGATATTTAATTACCGTTTTTTATTATTTTGCATGCTGTAGGAAAGGAGTTTGATACATATGCAAAAGTAATTGTGAATGCAAGTGGGCCATTTTGTGACTCTGTAAGGAAAATGGCCAACAAAAATGCACAAGAAATGATTTCTCCCAGCAGTGGTGTACATATTATACTTCCTGATTATTATTCTCCTGAAGGAATGGGCTTAATTGTCCCTAAAACAACGGATGGACGTGTTGTTTTCATGTTGCCATGGCTGGGAAGAACTGTTGCTGGGACTACAGATTCTAGTACTAACATTACTTATCGTCCAGAACCACACGAAGATGAAATACAGTTCATATTGGATGCCATATCTGATTACCTCAATGTTAAAGTATGTTTTACCTGCCAATGTATATGTTCTTTTAACTCATTTTTTTCCCTCATTTTCTTTAGCATAAGTATGGACGGAACACAGTGATGTGATGTTGTTTGATACATGTGGTCCTTGTAATTCTTGATTAAATGCAAGTCAAATGATGCTAGTGAGTAGCCACTCAATCTAGATGTCTTTGATTTTTTCTCCTTTAAAAAATTAATTGCATTTTCCATTTTACACTGTTTGCTGATGGGGAATGAAAAATGTGGCAAAAATTTTAGGTACGCCGCACTGATGTTCTTTCTGCTTGGAGTGGAATTCGCCCATTAGCAGTGGACCCAACAGCCAAAAATACTGAGAGTATCTCAAGGGATCATGTTGTTTGCGAGGATTACCCTGGTTTGGTCACCATAACCGGTGGCAAGTGGACTACCTATCGTAGGTAATTATTCAATGGGCAGCTAAAGTTGCTTAGTTGAAGTTTATTTAGATGTTTCACTAACCAAGCATATAACTATACTGTTTGTCTCATTGTTGTCTTTCTTTCTCATCAGCATTCCAGCAACATCGGTATTTTTCTGACTACATTGTGTTTTCAGCATGGCAGAAGATGCTGTTAATGCAGCTATAAAGTCTGGAAAGCTGACCCCCACCAATGAATGTGTAACCGAAAATCTCCGGATTGTTGGTGGTGAAGGGTGGGAGCCTTCTTCTTTCACAGTTCTTGCTCAACAGTATAAGCGCATGAAGAGTACACATGGTGGTAAAGTTGTTCCTGGGGTAATGGATTCTGCTGCTGCAAAGCACTTATCTCATGCATATGGAGCATTGGCTGAGCGTGTGGCTGCCATTGCTCAGGTTTGCTTTTATTACTTTATATGTCATATTGTTAATTTCATTGAGCAACAAACATATACAAATACATCTTAATGGAAAATAGGTGTACTATTTGGTACCATCTGTCATTTGGTGCCATCTTAGCAACTTTTCAGTTACTACTGGACTGCTCTCATTTAAATAACGTAGTGCTCTGCTTTGTATTTTTCTTTCCATTTGTTTATTCTTTTTATATTATAACCCTTATGGTCTTCATAATTTTTCTTGAAAATAGTATAATGGTGGCCCATTTTGGTTAAGTTTGTATGTGTTATTATTTCATAATTTTAAGATTGATCCAAATGTTGTCTGAATATGACATCATCTATACCTGTTAGGGATCTGAGATCATGGTCCAAATAGAAAAGAAGGCTCTTGTATGCAACTGGATTTCATAATCATGTAGCAGAGCTGGCATTGGAACATGAACATGGGGTGTTTTTTTATTTCTTTTTCCTTTTAGTTCTTCTGTTATTACTCAGAATATACATCTGTTTGAGCATATGTGATATCATGAGACATAGCCTCTCAACGCTACGACATTGTGGATGTATGTTGTGTTTAGTCTTACAAACTTGACATGATATTATGAACTGATGTCTATTTTGGGATGCCATCATTTGGTATGGAATAACCGGTGGTAGATGGAGTCAACTATTTCTTTGTTATCAACGTTAGCCATTTTGCCAAGTCACAGGGCTTCTTAATCGTAGATTCGTAGTCTGGTTGCTGGCTGATGTGATTTGTGAAGATAACTAGAAATGGGATTTAAAATTTAGACATTGCATTCTGTCTAAGTCCATTAATTTCAATTTTCTTGGGGGAGCAGCATTATCCTCTTTTGGGTAAAACTAGGACAGTCTAGGCTATCATAACCTAAAAGTTGCGTTAACAATAAGGATCTTTGTGGTATCCTACGGTGATATTTTTTCTCTATTAATAGGCTTCATGCATGTTATAGGGTTGCTTCATTGTTTCATACATGGTGAGAGTTAAATTGCTTCTGTATTTTTTTCTTTTAGAATGAAAATTTGGGTAAACGACTAGCCCACGGTTACCCTTATCTGGAGGCAGAAGTGGCCTACTGTGCTCGTAATGAATACTGTGAATCTGCTATTGATTTCATTGCAAGGAGGACTCGTCTTGCTTTCCTAGAAACTGATGCAGCACGAAAGGCATTGCCTCGTGTGATTGAAATATTGGCAAATGAGCACAAGTGGGACAATTCAAGGCAGAAGGAAGAGTTGGAGAAGGCTACAGAATTTTTGAAGACCTTTAAATCCTCAAAAAATGCACAATTCCATGATGGGAAACACAATTAGTAAGTGCCGTTGATTATACACATGAATTACGTTCTTAAATAATGCAATTGTTATATCAACTAATTAACTTTCTTATTGTTAGAAAAAAAGTGACAAACGGAGATATGACTATTTTATAATAATCGCTTTGTAACTTTTTCTCAGGTTCTGGACTTGAACGACAAAGAAGCTCTTCACTTGACAATTGTTTGGGCATGTTCTCTTCCCAATAGGTGACCATGCTTGTCAACGAGAGTAGATAGTAGCTACACACACATTAGAAATCAACCCTTCGGCGAATTTGTCTCACAAATTCCTGCCAAAATAACGTTTGCAAGATGGATTCATTATTTTGGACAGTCACGGACCAAAGAAATACTTCTGGAGATTGATATCAAGGAATGAAGGATCATGTTTCAGTTTAACTCGATCTTTATATTTTTATTTTACTTTCCAATCCCCCCATCAAAAAAAGAGTTTTTTGATATTGGTTTAAATTTTACGGATTACATGGGAATAGAATTGACTTCACTGAAGTAGTTTCAGACAATACTTTTGCTTTGTAGTGTTAACTTCAGTTTTAAAAGTCTAAATTTAGAAAATTGCTATTTTTTTAAATGTAATAAAACTTTTATTTTTAATAATTTTCTCTTACTTTGTATCATGCCATACTTTTATCAGGTCAGGATTACAAGGATATCAATCTTTAATTTATCTATTTTTTTCTTTAGCCCTTTTAAAGTGAAAACTGAAAATAAAGTGAAGAGTTATAGTCGTTTATTATAAAAAAATTAATAATTAATATTGAAATTAAATGTATAAATATATACATATATAATAAATTATGTAGTTCTTTAGTTTTTGACACTAAACTCGTGAATTCTAAGGCAAAAAAGCTGTTTGCATATGATTTCTTGATATTGAGTGATTTGGATAACTAGTTAGTGTATTACCCTTTTTTTTGCCGGAGAAAATTAAGGGAGGGTGATTTGGTTTTAAGAAATATCTGTTGTTTTTATTTTTTATAAAGCAAACTTTATTTTTATTCTATCTTTTCTTTTAAAATATTTATATAAAAAATACTTAATAATTTTTTATTTTACTGTTTTTTGTACTTGTTTTTAAAATAAAATAAATTGATAGTTTTATAGTTAAAAGTAAAAACAAAAATAAAAAAATGTTTTTTAAAACTAAACAGGTTCTAAAAGAAAAATAAAGTATTTAATGTGTTTAATTAAGAAGAGAAAGAATGAAAGAAAAAAGAAACTAGATGAGACTCAAAATAATTTTTTTCTCAAAGTGGGAAAGGAGTTAAATGATAAATTTTTACTTTCAAGTACAAAAATAGATAAATGAATTTTTTTTCACTCAAAAGATAAATGAGAAAGTTATTGATATTTTAAGAGGAAAAAAAATGCAATATTTGATAAAAAAAAAGTTAGAAATTAAGCAGTGCCAAAAGAAGAAATATTTCTTTCATTCTTGAACAACAGAATATTTCTAAAAAGCACATATTATTCATAAAAAAAAAAAAATTCATGTTCCTATTAAGGAAACGCTAGTCTTCAGGTCCTTGCTCTGAAACGATGACGTATCTCTGGTAGTCGCTGACGTGGGGAGGATACCTGCAAAAGGCACTATAATGCTGAAATCAGGATTCGGTTCTGAGTAATAAATGATATTTAATAATAAAAAGTCAACACTTTACCTGTACTAAATGAATTTTTTTTCACTCAAAAGATAAATGAGAAAGTTATTGATATTTTAAGAGGAAAAAAAATGCAATATTTGATAAAAAAAAGTTAGAAATTAAGCAGTGCCAAAAGAAGAAATATTTCTTTCATTCTTGAACAACAGAATATTTCTAAAAAGCACATATTATTCATAAAAAAAAATAAAATTCATGTTCCTATTAAGGAAACGCTAGTCTTCAGGTCCTTGCTCTGAAACGATGACGTATCTCTGGTAGTCGCTGACGTGGGGAGGATACCTGCAAAAGGCATTATAATGCTGAAATCAGGATTAGGTTCTGAGTAATAAATGGTATTTAATAATAAAAAGTCAACACTTTACCTGTACTTTTACCTTCTTTATATAGGCACTGTAATGGGCCTTCTAAGCCAGTCCTGATCTTTGGCCTTTTTAATAAAATAAATAATATCTTGATTATTTTCTTAATTGAGTTAATTACCTTTTAATTTTGACAAAAGGTATCCGGCCACTTAGTTCGAATAGGTATTTGGTTTCTTTTTCCTACAAGTAGGACCGAGTTATTTCCTATCCAGTACACTAGCCCCCCAAGCCCGAAGAGTTACGAAGTAAGGGCTGTAAATATAGACTAGCATAAAATAGAGATAAGGGGGTACTCAATTTGTTGGAAGTGTAAGGATACCGAGGGGTATTCGGCTTTAGATGTGAAATCTTGTTTTGATGTACTTTAAAGGAGTACTCGGTTTTTCAGAAAATTAGTGTAGAAAATATTGAAGTAAAGGGTAAATAATAAATAAAAAAAAAGAATATTCTAGAATCTTCAGAGTTTTTAGGGTTTCCTCGATCTGTGTGCGCGAAACGAAAGGGTATTCGATCTTAATCATCCATTTTTGAAGAGATCTGTTGGTTTGGAAGAGGGGTGTCCCTTCATATGTCTGAGGGCCCAAGGCCCTATAAATAGATGGTGGTCCAGGTCTTTTGTTCTCCACTTTATCTCTAAACCGAAAAGTAAATATTACTGCTCCAAACCGAAAGGTGTACAAATTTTCTCTTTTCTTCCAAACTGACTACCTGTGAGGTACGTTTAGTTTTTTCTCTACCTTCCTTATTTTATCATGGCCGAATCCTTGGAATGGGAGGACTTATTGTCAGACTCCTCTAGACCGACTAGTGTCAATATTCAAAATCCTGAGAAAACCGAAGGAGGGGTGAAATTTGCCTCAAGACCGAGTGGGGAAGAGGTAGAAATTCGTTCTAGGGAATGCAATGACGAAGCTGAGTCGTCTGAATCCATTGATTCTGAACCACTACCGAGTATGAGCCCCCTAGGGAAAGACCCGTATTTTCTCCTTGCATAATTCCTGGATACGAATGGGTACACGATGAAGTAGCCGCCTACTTCTCTCGTTTTAAAAGAAATAAGATTCTTTAATCTTTTGTTGACCATATTGATATTGCATTATGGGAATCTTCCGATCCCTACCCTATATCCATTGAACCTTGTCGGGGAGATGAGACCAAAGACCCTGAATTTATTTTTCTAAGGGGTGCTGGGATGGTCGACACCTTTTTTGTGTATGAGTATATGTTTAGAGAATTAGGTATAAAATTACCCTTTGACGACTTCCAAATGGGAGTGTTAAGAGTTTTAAATGTAGCGCCGACGCAACTCCATCCAAACGGGTGGGCGGCTATTCAAGCTTTTAGAGTACTCTGTAAATTTCAGTATATAGAACCTAGTGTAGGCTTATTTCTTTATTTTTATTGTACTCATCCATCCGATTTGACAAGGTGGATATCTTTAATAAGGCAACCAGAATTGCCATTGTTTAAGCCTTATGCTTCTCTTTCAAGGGTTTTAAAACCAGTTACTTTAAAGTAACCGTCCACTCTGTAGGTAGAAATTTTTTCTTTGATAGTGAAAATAACCCCCTTTTTCCCTTCTACTGGACCCGGGTGCCTTGCCGATATGACTTGATTCCTGAGGACATGTTGTCGGCTTTGGATTACTTGAAGTCTCTTTCTCGAGAGCTTCCTGCCCGACACATACTATTAGTATTAAAATCTCCTCAACCTCGTCTGGACATGGATGGTATATTCCATCCTTATGGTTTCATTTTTTATTTAAGTTGTATTGATTTGACTGTTTGCTTCTATTGTAGGTATAATGGCTCAACGCGGTGTTCACGTACCGACATATCGTAAAACTCTGAAGACCAAAGCACTTGAAAACACACCTATTGAGGAGCACCGAAACCCTCAGTTGGATCATATTCTTGAGGTGACCGAGCCCCGGCCTCCTCCTCAAGACCTTGTCATTGCAAAAAAGTAGCCGAAAAGGCGCAAAGATAAAGGCAAGGAGAAAGAAAAGGGGAAAGAAGTGGAGAGAGAGAAGAAAAGGAAGTACAATCATTCAGTTCGACCGAATAGTGAAGAAGGATCGCGCAAGCAAGATCAAAGTGCTGTGATGGCTATGGCCGGCAGTTCCTCAAATTTTGCGATTCCTCCACTCGTTTAACCGACTCTTTCCTGAATCCCGGGGTGCATGCCGGCCGGTTAATTGCTCCAGACCTACTTTTTAACTTGGGAAAAGATGTGATCAACAACTTAGATCTAGAAGCATTGTGGCAGTGCTATGCGGAGATGCAAGTGCGATCTACCTCCATGCTTCGAAGATTAGTTGTGGATCCTATACTTGAGTTAAAAAATGTCGAGAAGGCATACTCGGCTTCACAACAATCTCTGGCGGAGAGCAGAGAGACTCAGTCAAGCCTTACCGAGACTATGCAGTCATTGGAAGCCGAGGTTACTCAGTATAAGGAGCATTATCACATAGTCGAGAGTCGGCTTCGGTCAATCGAGCAAGCTTTAAGAGCTAAACAGGAAGAAATGGACAAGGCGTTGAGGGTTAAATCATTGAAGATAGATGTGGCTCTAGAGGTGAAGTCTTTGGAGATAAAGACTTTGAAAGCTAAATTTGCTGAAACGGAGGAGGCCTTGGCCCTTGAAAGGCAGAAAGCGGAGGCAGATCTGAGAGCCTTTGCTGACAAGTGTTCTGAACAAGTTGCCTTTGAACATGAGTCGGGCTTCAACAAGGCTATCCGCCAATGCTATGGATTTTGCCAAGTGCTTCCCAACTTTCATTTTGATTTGACGAAGGACTTCTTCGATGGCAGGTTCCTTTCGTATGATGAGGTTGATGAAGATATGGAACCTGATGCCGAAGCCCCCATACGAAATGAAGCTAATGATAACGCTCTCGGTCATGAAGCCCTTGGTTCTGAAGCTGCAGGTCTTGACGCCCCTGATCTCAATGGTGAAGAGGAGGGAAATTAAGAAGGGATTTTTGTTTTTTCTTCTGTATTCATGGGCCGAAAGTGCCCAAATTTTGTAATCCTGTTTCAACGAAATACAAGTTCAATTTCTTATTTTATTCCAAATTCTCTTTAAAACAACTAAGCCGAAGACTTCATTCAATGTTTCGTTTCTCAGTCGAGTAAGGATACATGTGACTGTAATGATGAATTCGTTTTTAACATAGGTATTTGCAATAATTAATTAATTCATCCTTAGCCGAGTGAGGTTACTTCTGAGGGCATTTAAATAATGATTTATCCTTGGCCGAGTAGGGGTACTCGGGAGGGAATTTAAATAATGATTCATCTTTGGCCGAGTAAGAGTACTCGAGAGGGAATTAATTCATCCTTAATCAAGTGATACTTGGGAGGGAATTCTAATAGCGGTTCATCCTTGACCGAGTAAGGGTACTCGGGAGGGAATTAATTCATCCTTAATCAAGTGATACTTGGGAGGGAATTCTAATAGCGGTTCATCCTTGACCGAGTAAGGGTACTTGGGAGGGAAATTAAATAATGGTTCATCCTTGGCCGAGTAGTGGTACTCGGGAAAGAATTTAAATAATGGTTCATCCTTGGCCGAGTAAGGGTACTCGGGAGGGAATTAATTCATCCTTAACCAAGTGATACTTGGGAGGGAATTTTAATAGCAGTTCATCCTTGGCCGAGTAGGGGTACTCGGGAGGGAATTTAAATAATGGTTCATCCTTGGCCGAGTAAGGGTACTCGGGAGGGAATTAATTCATCCTTAACCAAGTGATACTTAGGAGAGAATTTTAATAACGATTCATCCTTGGCCGAGTAGGGGTACTCGGGAGGAAATTAATTCATCCTTAACTAAGTGATACTTGGGAGGGAGTTTTAATAGCGGTTCATCCTTGGCCGAGTAGGGGTACTCGGGAGGGAAATTAAATAATTCAGAAGATTTGCTTGAAAGAAATCCATAACTGAGAAGTGAGTAGTAGTATTTTATTGATAAGGTGCCTTGTTAGAAACCTTCCCAAGAAAACCCTTTTTCACTTTTTTTTAAGAGGACAAAACTTGGGCGAGGAAAAGAGTACACCGAATACAAATTACAAGTTTTTAACTAAAGTAATGCTTCAAATGTGTAACATTCCAAGTTCTTGGTATAAGCTTTCCTTCTAATATTTCTAACTTGTATGCTCCATTGTCTAATCTTGCCGTTACCCGTAAGGGGCCTTCCAGTTAGCCGCTAACTTTCCCTCTCGCCGATCTCTTCGTGCATCTCCTGTTACTCGCCATACCAAGTCATTTTCATAAAATTGTCATGGATTGATTTTGGTATTAAATTTTTTAACCATCATTCTTCTGCTGGCCTCGGTCATAATGGCTGCTTGGCCACGTACCTCAGCTATTATATCCAGGTTGACGGCCAAAACCTCGTTATTAGCCGATTTCTCAAAATTCTCCCTTTGAAATGAAGGTTCTCCAATTTCTACTGGCACTATGATATCAGTACCATAGGTAAGCCGAAAAGGAGTTTCCTTTGTTGTGGTTTGCGGCGTACACCGATAAGCCCATAGCACCTCGGGCAGCTTCTCTACCCACTCCTCTTTTGCCGAACCTAATCTTCTTTTTAATTCATGCAAGATCACTTTGTTTGCGGCCTTAGCTTGACCATTAGTCTAAGGGTGTTCCACAGATGTAACCTTGTGCTTGATATGAAGCCCTTCCAAAAATTCATTGAATCGTCGATCTGTGAATTGCAATCCGTTGTCTGTTATTAATGCATGAGGAAGGCCGAAACGTGTGATGATGTTTTTCCAAGTGAATTTCTATACATTGTTGGCCGTGATGGTAGCAAGAGGTTCGGCTTCAATCAATTTGGTAAAGTAATCCACACTAACAATTAGAAATTTACACTGCCCTTTTGCTAAGGGGAAAGGGCCGAGGAGGTCCATACCCCAAATGGCAAAGGGCCAAGGAGAGCTAATAGGGCGGAGGGCGTCGGCATGTTAATGTAAGTGTGGACCGTGTTGTTGACAGGGGATACATTTCTTTACAAACATATGGCAATCTTGGGAGAGTGTTGGCAAATAGTACCCAACTCTGAGTATTTTTGCCGCCATGGTTCGTCCACCTGAATGGATACCGTAGATACCTTCGTGAATCTCCCTCGTGACATAGTTTGCTTGGCCGTCGTTAAGGCATTTAAGCATAGGTGTTGAAATCCCTCTTCTGTACAAGTCTTTGCCAAGAAGGAAGTATTTAGCTGCATGCATTCTTATTTTCTTGGCCGATTCTGGATTATTTGGCAGGCTGCTATCGGTAAGGTATTGGATAATGGGAGTCATCCAATTGTGAGGCACATTTTCTATATCTATGCACTCTTTCTTAGCTATGCTCGGTTTAAGGACTTCCTGGTGAATGACACTTTTTAATTGCCCAAGTTTTCTTTGGCTTGCCAACTTAGCAAGCTTATCGGCTTGTTCATTCATTGTTCTCGGGGTGTATCGAACACATATCTCATCAAACTCGGCTTCTATATTTTTAAATTCTTGATAATATTGGAGCATGACCGAATCCTTCACCTGATATGTTCCATTGACCTGTTCGGCCACTATCTTTGAATCACTCCAACAAGTGACATGTTTTACTCCAACATCCTTTGCCAATTTGAGGCCGGCTAGGAGGGCTTCATATTCAGCTTGATTATTAGAGGCTTTGAATCCAAACCGAATAGATTGTTCAATTGTTACGGCGTTCGGGCCTTCAAGTATAATTCCTGCTCCACTACCAGATTGGTTTGATGATCCATCAATATGTAGGTTCCACATATCCCAATTGGCTTGTGGCTGAGTCGTGAATTCATTGACAAAGTCGGCAAGTACTTGAGCTTTAAGGAGGCGTTGACTTTCAAAGTGTATATCAAATTGAGATAATTCTATTGCTCATGCTACTAACCGACCAGCTAATTCAGGTTTTCTTAAAATTTTGAACATTGGACAATCTGTCCGTACCACCATTCGATGACTCTGGAAGTAGCGTCTTAACCGACGAGCTGTGTGGGCTAGGGCAAACACCACTTTCTCCATCAATTGATACCGGGATTTGGAACCTTGGAGCGTTTTGCTGATGAAATAAACTAGGGCCGGTTCAGGCATTTCTTGTAACAGGACGGAACTGATGGCGTTATCTGACACCGCCAGGTATATAATCATCTCCTTCTCAGGGAGCGTTTTTATTAATACGGGTGGTGCTACGAGTATATTTTTATATTGGGTGAAGGCGGCCTCACACTCGTCATTCCAAACAAATTTTTGAGATTTTTTAAGCAAGTTAATGAAAGCCCGAGATCTCTCTGCCATTATGGGAAGAAACCTGAAAAGGGCAGTGATCCTACCGGCTAGTCATTGAACTTTCTTGACATTCCGAGAACTAGCCATCTCGATGATAGCTTGACATTTATTAGGGTTTGCCTCGATTCCCCTTTCGAATAGCATGAAACCCAAGAATTTACCACCGGCTACACCAAATGTACATTTTTCAGGATTGAACCGCATCCTATGCCGCCGAGCCTGACCGAATACTTCTTTTAAGTGCATAAGGTGGTGCTCTAATTTGATAGATTTGATTACCATGTCATCAACATATACTTCCATACATTTTCCTATTTGCCCTTCAAAAATTTTATTCATTAGCCTCTGGTAGGTTGCCCCAGCATTCTTCAAACCGAAAGGCATTACTCGGTAATAAAAGTTAGCGGAATCAGTGATGAATGCAGTTTTTTCCTCATCCAGCGGACACATTCGGATTTGATTATACCTAGAGTAGGCATCTAAGAAACTGAACATTCTGTGTCCTGCTGCGCCGTCTACTAGGGCATCAACGCTAGGGAGTGGGTAAGCATCTTTTGGGCATGTTTTGTTTAAATCTGTGTAGTTGGTACACATTCGCCATTTGCCATTTGCTTTTTTGACCTTGACTATATTGGCCAACCAGGTAGAGTACCTAACCTCTCGGATAAAACTGGCTTGTATCAATTTAGTAGTCTCTTCTTTTACTGCTTTTACTCTGTCGCCTCCCACTTTCCTTTTCTTTTGGGCTATTGGTCTCGCTGCTTTATAAATGGAGAGGTGATGACAAAGAAATGCTGGATCGATGCTAGGCATGTCTGAAGCCGATCAGGCAAAAAGATCAGCATTTTGTATCAATGTCTTCTGGAGCTCGTGTTTTTCTTGGCCAGATAGGCCGACTCCCAAGTAAGTAACCTGTTCAGGCTTCGGTCCCAGCTAAAAAGGTTGCTTATTTTCATTGGGCTCAACCCGACACCCTTCATCAGTCCTAGAATCAAGTTCAATATCTACGTCCTCCTCCGACTTAGGGGTCACAATGTTGACATCTCATTTATATTCTTGGAGTGGTCTGATGCGTAAGCTTGCAAAATAGCATTCCCTCGTTGTCTTTTGATCAGCATGAACTATGACTATTCGTCCCCTTTCTGATGGAAATTTCATAGCCAAATGTGGAGTAGATACTATAGTTTTAAGTTTGTTAAGGGACGGTCTGCCGAGTAACATGTTGTACAAGGTGTTCGCATGAACTACCAAGTACGTGACCTTGATGCGTTTTCCTTCGTGCTCTGATCCAAATGAGGTGTAAAGATCAATACACCCCCGAGTCTCCACCCGTTTCCCTGAAAAACCAACTAAGGGTTCACAATATTCTTTGAGTTCCTCTTCGGGTATTCCTAATTGCTTGAAAGTATTTCAGTAAAGGATGTCGGCTGAACTCCCCTGATCTCTGAGTGTTTTCCGGACAGTGCAGTTGAGAATGGCTACACTTATAACCATAGGGTCGTCTTGTATAGGATCCACTCCTTGAAAGTCTTCATCAGTAAATGTAATAGGGGGAATCCAAATCCTGCTACCAAGTGTGATATTGTTGACTGATCTGACTTGCCTCAAATGTCTTTTTCTGGCCGAATGGGTAGTTTCGCCACCGGCAAACCCTTCAGCTATGGTATTAATGACCCTTTTAGGGTACTTCTCACGCTCATGGTACCGTCCAGTTGGAGGTTCCCTGGACTTACTCCTCTGTCGTTCAAGTCTCTTGTCATCGTATCTCCTTGATAGCTTAGGGTAACGGTCTCTTCCTTTATTGGATTGACCGACGAGATTTGTCTGCACAAAATCTTTTAAATGTCCTTCCTTTATTAATTCCTCAATTTTATCTTTCAGCGCGGTGCACTCTTCAATGGTATGACCCCTGTTCTGATGGTATCGGCAAGCTTTGCTTTTATCTGCCCGAGGAGGGGTGTTGGTGCGTCTAGACATTCTCAGTATTTCTGTAGCCAATGCTTGATCTAGTACTCTAGACCGATTAGTGTTGAGCGTAGTGTAGGAAGGATATTTGGGTCCCCTGGGCAGCCTTTCAGGTTCATTTCTTCTCTTCTTATTTTCTTGCCTAGACTTGAAAATTTCTCTCCTATCTGTATTTTTTGAATTGGACCCCTGGTCCATCCGCACCTGGTTTCGGTATTCAGATAACTCTTCCATTTGCATATACTTTGCAGCCTGACTTCTTAACTCGTCTAGGTCGACAGGTGATTTTTTACAGATGCTATTAACAAAAGGTCCTGGCTTTAGGGCCGTTATGAGGTGGTGCATAGCCACTGCTGGTTCCAAATTATGGATTGCAAGGGTCACTTTGCCAAAGCGTTCCATAAACGCTTTAAGTGACTCTCCCTTTTCTTGGCGAATTAACCAGCGCCAAGGATGTTAAGGGATGCGGTCGGCTTGTGGCGAACTATAAATTGAACCGTCTTGCGAGAGTTGCAAATGAGTCAATGGATGAAGGGGGAGTCGGGTGAACTAACTGAGTGCAGGCCCTCGGAGTGAGGTGGGAAAAATCTTACACCATAAAGAATCATTCTCGGTGTACATACCAACTTGGGTTGTAAAGACATCCAAATGTTCCCCCGAATCAGATGCGCCATCATATTTATCTATTGTTAATCCTCTCCAATTATCGGGCAGCTTAGCCTCAAGGATATGGTGAGCGAAGGGGCTTCGACTCACGAGATCGTCTCGGTCATTTTTGGCCTCAGATTGATAAACCTGCTTTGATTTCTCTTGCAACGCCGAGGATTCCCCCTGATCCTGGATGATGGGTGTAGTTTGGGAAGGGATGTGTGTTCTTATCTCTTCTCTCAAGTTAGCATTTTCCCTTCGCAGAGCCGAGAACTCCAGTGCATCCTTCTCTCTCTCCTTCTTCATCTCCGTCATTTCTGCTTTAAGCTGCCTCAGTACAGCTAAAATGCTCTTGTCGGTTCCCCTTGCATCACTACTTCAGGTGTTGGTTCGTCTGGTGTGACACCCTCTAACTGTTGACGAGAGGTTCCTCCTTGTTGAACATGTCCTTCCTGCTAGCTTCTCGTTAGTACCATGATTAATCTGAAAAACGAGACTAATTGTGCCCCACGGTGGGCACCAAAATGTTCCTGTTAAGAAAATACTAATCTTCAGGTCTTTACTCCGAAACGATGACGTATCTCTAGTAGTCGCTGACATGGGGAGAATACCTACAAAAGACACTCCGATGCTGAAGTCAGATTTGGTTCTGAGTAATAAATAATATTTAATAATAAAAAGTCAACACTTTACCTGTACTTTTACCTTCCTTATATAAGCACTATAATGGGCCTTCTAAACCAGTCTTGATCTTTGACCTTTTTAATAAAATAAAATAAATAATATCTTGATTATTATCTTAATTAAATTAATTACCTTTTAATCTATCCAGCCACTTATATCAAATAGATATTCAGTTTCCTTTTCCTACAAATAGCACCGAGTTATTCTCTATCCACTAAAATCCAAAAAGTAGAGACACTTTTTCTTAACGGACAAATGTAAATATAGGTAGCCGATAAGATAAAAAAGAGCAGATAATTTCTTCAAATTCATTTCAAACCACTGCGTTTCCTGGTCGCCCCCGAAAAAATGGTAACAGCAGCGGCTACAATGGTAGCACTCTCAGTTAAATCACACTCTAAAATACACACTCTCTCATCATTTCGTACTCTCCCCCGCCTCACGTGCTCCTTCTCTTCTTCCTTAAATTTCAATATCTCCTTCGCTCCCTCAAAGCCGAAGCCCAAGCCCGAAACCCAAGGCCCAACCGAGCCCGACGACACACCGCTCCTCATCCCTTGGATCGTTCGGGGTGAGGACGGGAATCTCAAGCTGCAATCGGAGCCTCCTCCGAGCCTCATCAATGCCTTGGCCAGCGCCCAAACCGGCACCAAGAAGGACAAGAAGCAAACCAAAACCAGCACCAACAAAGCTCAAAACCACGAAAAGGTTCGCGCGGTGGCGCCGCCGCAGCATTCCAAGGCGGCGCGGAGGTTCTACAACCAAACAATCAAGGACTCCGCCGGCACGCGCCTCAGCAAGGTTCTCGCCGCCTCCGGAGGTAACGAGTTTGTTTCAGCTGTTACAGAATTAGTTATTTCCGTTAGGAGCTAGGTTATGCAGTTACGAGTTCGGTATCTGTTAACTGTTTTCAGTTGCGTCGAGGAGAAGCTGCGAAGAGCTTATTTTCGAAGGGAGGGTTACGGTTAATGGTTCCGTATGTAATACACCTCAGGTTTGTTTCAATTCTCTGAATTACATCATAATTTCATGCTTTTGATAGAATATTTGTTTATTTAATTTTTTGTGTGTGAGTTGCAGACTAGAGTTGATCCTGCAAAGGATGTAATCTATGTGAATGGGAACCGGCTTCCGAAGAGGCAGCCTCGAAAGGTTTATCTCGCATTGAACAAGCCGAAAGGGTATGTAAAGTATTGCGCGTGTATCCTTATGTAATTGAATTTATAAGTGATGTGAATACTTTTGCATTTCCACAGGTATATATGTTCGTCTGGGGAGAATGAGTCTAAATCTGTGATAAATCTATTTGATGATTACTTGAGGAGTTGGGTATGTGACACTTCGATTGATAGTAGAGGTTTTATTTATTCTGCATTTTCACTTTAGTAAGTATATGAAGGCATTGGATTACTGTTTCTGAGATGATGATATATTGTTTTTCCTCTCTTATAAGATCAAATGAAGTCTTCTCTGTCGCCTAAAAACGATTTTATCTTTATTCCAGGGTAAAAAGCATCCGGGAGTACCCGCACCTCGGCTATTCACTGTAGGACGCCTTGATGTTGCTACTACAGGGTTAATTATTGTGACTAACGACGGTATGTGATGACCTGAGAAAGCATTTTTATGAACATTGAGTTCATAGTGGCTCTGTTTATAAATCATGTCTAAATATAAACAGTTTTGTGATATCTAACACTTCCTGCATCAATGCTTGCTCACAGGAGATTTTGCTCAAAAACTTTCACACCCTTCATCTAATTTATCAAAAGAGTGAGTCAATGAATTTGTTTTGTGTATGTATGGTTTATAATATTTGCTTTTTTTTAGGCTTGATATTATTATTTCTGGCCTGAAGAATGTCCTCCTTTCCTATGAATTTCTTACATTATCTGAAACATCACATTGATTATGTCAGATACATTGCAACAGTTGATGGCTTGGTTCATAAGAGGCACTTAGTAACCATAAGTGAGGGAACAAGCATTGAAGGTGTCCATTGTGTACCGGACATTGTGGAGTTACTTCCTCGTCAGCCAGATGTGCAAAGAGCTCGTCTTCGTATTGTGGTAAAATTATCTGGTCTGGTCTGCTAGATCAGTTATGCAATGCTGCTTGTATATTTGTGATTATCAAATTCTCTGATGATGGCATGGTATGTCGCTTAAATTACAATCTGTTGGCACATAAGGTTGATGAAGTTTCCTTTTTAATGCAAATTATAGCATCATAGGCTATGGTAACCATAGATTTGGCATTATTGTCTGTGTTTCTAATAGAACTGGATCAGAAATAGGATGAACTATTAGATGTATTGCAGAAATTTCCCTGCTCAGTATCAATGTGATACAGAACCAGAGGCCAAGAATGATACAATGGAAATCTCTCTCTCTCTCTCTTCACCCAAGTATCTGAGAGATGTGGTTCTTGGCCTTCCATATTCCTATGAGTCTGAAAATGTCCCCTTATTTCCCTCCTGCTCTTTATATACACTATCCAATGTTCTAACTAAATAACTAACTGTTAATACTATTGTCAACCTATTGAGTCTGTTCTAAACAACTGCTGACACTTGGGCCACGCGTCTAACAGTTTCACAAAATGTTACTTTGGGTCAATTCTAGCAAAGGCTGGCACACAATTAGATTCTCTATGTATGTAATAAAAGATTCAATTTTTCTTAGTCATAATTTGAAATGTTATAATTCTTTGGTAATATTGAATACTTTTTTCACACGTCTTATTGAAACTTTTAGACTAACTCTCAGATGAATGGCTTTTCTAAATTAATGACAATTATTTTTCCCTTTTGTGTTTCTCATTGTTTAATGTTATTCTGGATGTTCAACACTAGAGATGTTTAGAAAATTTGTGACCATTAATGTGAAATTGTACATGTCACATGGGAATATTGGTTTAGATTTAAGCAATGATACAGGATATATTTACACTCTCATAGTATCAAGATGGCTTCATTTTAGTCTGTTCTCCATCTACTTGTTAGAGCATGTGACTTGTCTGATGATGAAGGAAATTGGACATAGCTGACATTTGCTTCATTTAATTTGGATTCTCATAGGTTCATGAAGGGAGGAAACATGAAGTTCGAGAACTAGTGAAAAAAGCTGGACTTGAGGTTAGCTTTAATTATACATATGCTTTAATATAAAAATAATAATAAAAGGATTATCCATATGCTATGTTGTATGCTTTTGGAGGAAGTTTATATAATCTTTTGGGGGTATATGGTTGTGTTATTAACTTCCGTATGGGAATTATAGTTTTAGGAGCTTCCTTGTATGATATCTATAGATTAATAACATGCTAAATGCTTTTATTTTTCTCCTTCAGGTTTTTAGCATAATGCATTTGTTTCTTGTTTCTGTTTCATATTTCAGATTCATTCATTGAAGCGAGTACGCATTGGTGGGTTTAGACTTCCACCAGACCTTGGGTAATTGTCATGCATCTAATTTTACTAATTTCTTAGTAGTCTTTCTTCAGTAGTAATAGTAGTATTCAAATACAATTCCTATAATATTTCAATTGAATTCCCTAGTAGTTAATAGATTTTAATATTATTCATCTGTTGTATTTTCAGAATTGGGAAGCACATTGAGTTAAATCCAACGAATCTGAATGCATTGGGGTGGAAGAGTTGACAAAGTTGCTTCTTAATAATCGGGGTTAGAAATGTTACTCATGCTTTATTAGATTGGAGCAGCTCGCTGAAGCTATCATCAAAGAGTTGGTCAGTACTAGTTTTGATTTGAGCTGTTGAATTCTGGCACCTGTTGCATTTCTTGGGGCAGTATTTGGAATGGTGGCAGCGTGCACACGGCTTTCTGGAGAGTTTGACATGAAGCCTCACGCAATCAATGATATCTATGTAGTCTAGAAGAATTGGGAAAAAATTTTAACCTGCGGCTTAGAAGAATTGGAACGGTGACGACGTGGCTGTGTATAAATATACAAGCTTAGCTTAGAGCTGCCTGTTCAAATAAGAGGGTATGTTTTGATAATTATACTCTAAATTGAAAAATGTGTTTAAATCGAAACCTATAATGCATGAGGCTAAGGAAAAATTGTGATGTAATCTTATTTACTAAGTCAAATGCTAGTAGTTCCCTTCAATAAATTTTCAGCAATAAATTCTTTTAAACAAAATGAATTCAGATTTTAATTTTCATTGCAAAAATTCGGATTTTAATTTTTCATCCTAAAAATTCAGATTTTTTTTTTCTAATTCATTAAGAAATTTTCACCTCTATTTTAGTTAAATCAGACATAGTGATTAAGTAGTATATGAAACTGTTAAGTTATTTAAGCCAAAAATGTTTGGGATAGGACTCTACCACTCGTTTTTGCAATTTGTATTACCCTGCAATTTATTTTAGAGATGTGTTTAATACATTTTAAAAATTAAATTCTAGAAATCGTTCGTAAATCACTGTCAAAGTTTAATATACAAATATATACATTTTTCTAAAAATTAAATTCTAAAGGTGATTAATAAATTACTTTTGAAATTTAATTCTGAAATGAATTAAACACATTTTCAAAGGTTAAATAATATTTTTTTCTAACACATTTCTCTTTTTTTTTTCTCCACCATTTCTTGTAATCCAAAGGGTAAATTGTCGATATTAGTGTTTAATATTTTCTATTCCCTACTTTCCGTTTCACAAGCCCTCACCCCAACCCTAAAAGAAAAGCAAATGTTGTGGTGATCTAGAATTTGGATGAGTACCAATACCTTTAATTGGTCTAATATTAATTATATTTTTATATAGAGCCAAATGTAAAGTGCTTAAAGCTCACAAATTCAGTTGACAAATATAATTAGCTAATTTTATAGTATATTTGAAAGGTACTTATTTTGATATTTGGAAATTTGGAAAAATATTATAGATCATTTTTAAATTGTTATATTTCTTCTAATATTTTGAAAATTTAAAAGTATTTATCTTTTTTAAATAAATTACAAATTTCGTTATCTATTAATAAAAAATTATCAGCAATAATTATCTTTCGTATAAAAAATTTAAAAGACCTCTTAATTTACAAAGCATCATAAAATTTATCCATCTTAAATTATCACAACTTAACCATTAATTCCGTGACTATTTCAATTTCACTCTTTTTTGGGGTCATTTTCAATTTCGGTATCTAAAATAACCTACCAAATTACCACGTGGGTAAGAAAATGCGCACTAGTTTGAGGCTTGAGTTTTAACGATGCATCTCCTGTTCGAAGCCCACAATAGATTAAAAAATAATCACGAGGGAGTCTCTCCTCGAAAAAAATTAATTTTTTACACTAAAATTGGCCACACAATTGTAGGAAGAAAATTATACAATATAGCATGAAAAATATACACGTGATTTTCAGGTGGTTCTAAATAATGACTTGAATGAAATTCCTCATCACACCCATACTCAAAACCCCAAAAATAGAGTAAGACCAAAAAGGAAAGCAGCGGCAACCAAAATTGACATCACATTATAAACACTACAATCAAATGAGGGGGGAAAATGGAACTACCATCCCCAAGGGCAGAATCAAAATCATCGTTTAACTAGTGGTCTACTCGGTTGTAACTTGATGAAAAATTGGACATCTGCGTGGGCTTGTTGCATCAGCATTTTTCAGAAATAAGAACCAGAAATCTAATCGATGTGAGCACCCCAACAGTCCAAAACGAATGAACATACTACAGGGACAATATTTCAGATACTCGATCTCGTGCATCAGGAGGAATTTCCCTTCCAGAAACCTGAACATTAAGAAGGTTGGCGTACCTGTAGAAATATTGTGTCAATATAAATCCATAAAAAGGTATTAACAGCTAAAATTTGCATAAACTTACTCAGCAGGGGTGAACAAGTGTATATGTTCCGTAATGAAGGCAAGCAAGGCCTGCAACAGCATAGGAATACGTAAGATGACTGGACAAAAATTACAATCAACACGAAGCCATTAGTTTAGTTGACTTACCTCAAATGGCATGTTTAATAGTTCATAGTAGGTGCGGACTTGATCCAATCTCTGTTGCACTGTTTCACTATTTATGGATGGAATAGCTGCCAATGCCTGTACATCCATCTTAAAATTGTTATGCTTGTCAATTTTTATTACGAGCTTTTACATCTTCCCATTTATTAATTCTCCCAAAAGTTGTATAGTAAAACCCCAAAATTCTAGAAATGTTGTGTGCGTAAATTCTGGAGAAATAGCGAGAAAAACTTGCCTGTTCCAATGCAATCGTGTTTCGACATATTTGCTGAACGCCAAAAAGATTTATGGACTTCATATCCGCTAAAGCCTAATAGGTAAAACAGAGCAGCCTAACATTAGCGGTGAAACAAGGGAAGTGATATAAGGGATTTAACTGAAAATACGCGCTCGAATCATAAACATGCAAAGTTTAAAAACAAACTGTAAAGAAATTCACACCTTAATGGATGCGTTTGCTGCAACCCCACAAATTCCACCAAATATGTAATTCCGCTTTGCATTTGAAATAAAGGGAGCCATTTCCTCATCTCTTCTTGTTATCTGGGGATTCAATTAACAAAATAATATACAATATGACTTGCGTAAGCAGCTACATCTTTGAGTAACTAAACAGGAAGGTCAACTTTCAGAAATTCATTATTACAATGTAGTTGACTGTTGAAAATGGGATTGATAGTAACATTCCATAGTCTTTAGCATTAAATCAAATAATTTAGATTTTTTGAATTAGTAGGTATAGTGACTTAGTAAGATGCTATAACAAATTAATTTAGTTTAACTTTAACACCTTGTGTTGTATTGATATTTTAATGGCCCCAAGGGATTGTTCCACAATTATAGGAAAATAAGTCCATCTCCATTCTGAAATAAAACACAAATTTGAAATCCTGAACTTATCCATCAAGAACCTTAAACGAAGCATGATCCTTTTATAAGCTATATCATCCCAAAAGCTAGCTCATGAACGGAGTACTAATCATGTTGCCCCATAAATCCTGACTTTAGTTAATTATCCACTAGCAGTAAATTTGTTAGGGAGGACTTCGTCAATAGCAATTATCCCTCAATTTGAAAAATTCATTGATAAAGGAAGGAGGATGCTCATGAACTGTCATAGGACTACACAAACTCAGAAAACCAGCCCAAAAGGAAACCATGTCTTGTTACAACATTACAATAATCTTGGTATCCCCAATGGTTTATTTCCAAATCCATCCCAGGATCCAACTAAGAATCCTAATGAAGACAACGACAAAATGCAAAGATAGAAAGACACACCTGTGCAGTCAGAGAAATGATGAAGTCATCTGGCTCTTCAGCATCTTGGTCATCCAAGTATTCTGTATTTGTCATTTCCTGCTCAAAATTGTGAAGCTTAGCTAAATTTGGAGACAATTAACAATAAAATTCTTATTACTTCTACAACTAGAGACAAATAATCTCACTAGTGCCAAACCTGCATATGAAATAATGTCTCCAATTGCATCTCTATACGTAAAACCTTGAGACAATCAATTGCCAATTTCCTATAATCTTGAGCAAATGATGCTAGACTCCTTGTAGGTGCACTGTCTGTACGACTATGATGGTATTTTCCTCCAACATGATTTGATGCTCTTTGAGTTGTATGTCCAAGCCTGCAAATTTAACAATAATTTAAAGTATCACAAAAATAAGGCTAGAATATTTCAAAGAGAGCTATCTTGGGTGTATGATGCTTAATTACTCTAATTTATGAGACCAATAAAAACCACCAGACACCATACTGCTCATCAAGGAAAGAGAATGACACATACGTTGATTAAATCATTAAACATGATACAGGTAGGATTTTTTGTCCCCTTTCTACCCCCCCCCCCCCCTCTCTTTCCTTTTATCCAGCTCCTAACCGAATCTGCTCCCCTTCCCTGTTGAACATGATCTTGTTGAAATTCTGAATGCGTGCATGTTACATTGACTAACACACATCTAAGTCCGCAACTTCCTTTTTCCCCCCAACCAAAAATGATTGTTTGTATATATATGATTGGCAGTACGGAACAATTCTACTGATCTAGCAAAATCCCTCCACGATCCCAGCAGAACAAGTTTCTTGCAGGGAATGAAATTGTTCCACTACCCATAACTTTCAAGAATCATAGATTCTACAATATAAATTGCAATTCCGACAGACTTGCATATATGCTTGCTTTATACACAGTAGGTACAATTAAAACAATGTCTGGATTGCACAGCATGTAGAAAACCCACCTTTCAATAGAGTCTGCAACATACTCCAATGAGTCACTAAGGGATGCCAACAAAATAAGCTTGTTGTCATCATGGATTAAGTTTTCCTGATGCAAAAAAACAACAAAGTCACCGAAGAAACATAATGTATCAGTCAGTAAATTAAGTACTTAAAAATAGGAAGAGTAGAAATTGGTTAGCATAAACAGAAAAAAAAAAAAAAAAAACCTGCTTAATAGGACGCAAATTTAGCAGTAATTCACTTAGTTCTAATTCAGCCTCAATTGTTTCAGCATTACTTTCCATGTTAAACTGACCAAGCAGATTTGGCAAATATGCACTTGAGGGGTCAAGTTTCATCAATTTCTCAATATCATGCCTCCCAATAAGCATATAACTCTGCTTCTCAAGAACAGCCTGAAATATAATTGACAAAAACATTAGAAAATAGTGGAGGCCATTGTGCAAGAGTAGGCAACTATTTATAGGTATGTCAGTTATCAACTTACCTAAAATGATTGAGCTATTGGGTTCAAACACAAACAGTTTTATATCTAACAATCTCAAGAATCAACTTAACCCAAAAGCTACAGCTATTGGGGACAGGAAGACGTAGACCCAGACAATTTTTGTTTTGCTAATCAGCTGGTCATACTTAGAGCTGAAACTTAATTTAATTAATGAAGAACAGGAGCAACAAGGATCAAACTCCTGAGCCTGATCATTTGGTCATAGAGTTGCGATCTTAGCTTCATGATACTCAGCCGTTGGTTGTTTCAAATGAGTGGCTTTGTCTGGTACCATGCGGATTGAGGATTTAGCTATTTC